TGGGGGGGGGGTTGGTTGCGTTTTAAAATCTTGTGTAAGAAACTAAACTAAACCCCCCGAATGGAGGGTTAAAACACTTGACGTTTTAAAATCTTAAGTAAGACACTAAACTCATTGTTGTGTTCCACAACAATGCCGAGTTAGTTTATAGTTGACATTGTTGATGACGTCATTTTTTGACGACAAATTGGTTGACGACAACGACTAATCAGAAATTTTTATAGTAGATAAGAAAAAAGAAGATAAAGAAAGATAATTATGAAGGAAAAGCCGGTGAAATATCGAAATTCTGCTGCAATTTTTTTTAGTGAAAGCTGATGTCCGTTGACCTGTATAAGGTTAGGTGAGGTTTGAATTGATATTTTTTTTCGGCGTGACGAACATTTAACGAAACGCAAATAAAATACTTTCCGACTGTTTTTTCAGTAAGACAAATCCAACGAGGTGGGAAAAACAGGAAAGAACGCGTCTGGATTACGTTTTAGTTTAATATTTCATCTGAGAACGTGAAACATGTTCAGAAAAGGCAGAGTATTAAACATTTTAGAGACAAACCACGACGGAAGTGTAGTTGAGCACGGAACGTGTGTATATTGAGGTAGAATCAAACAAAATGAAACATTCGATTATATCGAATATGTTGTTTTGTCAAGTTGCTGGAACTCCTTGTCATCGAGATGCCGGTTTTCCTGGAGATTGTCTTCTGTTCTTCCGGACATCAAGACACGCAAGTTTAAGCGATGTAACGTCGCCAAATAAGTTGTTACCACCTTTGTAAAGTTTATTTGTTGCTTTATTTATGCTAATAACAGTATCTCAGTGCGAAGGTCGTCTTTCGGCAGACGGGATGGTAGTCACGGATGATGAATTGAAATAGCGTGAAAGGAAGCCGTAGTGGCCTATTTATCAAAATCTTCTTGGAGGGACTTCATGAATCACAGTGGCGGGGCGGCGCGGGGGGGGGGGGGGGGGGGGCTCCTGAACACGAAGTAGGAATGAAGGCCACCTTTCTTGTGTGAAACTGACATATGAGTTATGTTTACCAGTCAAATTGGTACCTTTATTTACAGAAACAACGTGCCAGTTGTATACAAAATCAAAATTAATGATAATAATGGAATATTTATGATTAAGTTGTCAAATATAATCTAATGAGTAGTTAATATTAGAATTTGTTATCTGTATGATATTTCTCCTGAAATCACTTGAATGACCTAGGCTTAGATGGGAGGATAAGATATTAAGCATTTTTTTCACTCTCCTCTAAATATTTCCCCAGCACTTTGTATTTCCTTAAAAACTGTTAACCAGTTCATATTTGTAATGAGAAATTCTGTGTTTTCTTTGTGGTAAGGACTGAATTCTTATGTATTATGTAGATGAGTTTAGGCTTCGAAAGGGTTAACCATCTATGGGTGTAGGGACAGTGTTTGTATTTTCATTCTACTTACTTTAAAGTATAACTATGGCTACTGTAATGAAGAAAATGTGCATTTACATTGAAGCGTGTCAAACATCTGTATACGGAGCGGGATTTATTTGCAGCCCTGGGAATCGAGGGTGACAGTGCTTTGTTGGTCTTGTTCTAATTTCTTGTGATTGTTATATTACAGTTTGTTTGAGCAGGAGATCATGAGCTATGTGCCTGTGGTGCCAGCGACAGCTCGGTCACCGCGCGGTTCACCTCAGCTTTCACCACAGGCATCACCCGGACTGTCACGGGCCAATGCCCGGGCCCCCGCGCCTTACAGAAGAGACTTTGAAGCGAAGCTGAGAAACTTTTATCGAAAGTTGGAGTCTAAAGGTTATGGCCAAGGACCAGGAAAACTCAAGTAAGAATTCTGCATTAATTTTTAAAGAGTTCTCGCTGGTCATCAAAATTGTAAATCTACACACACAGTCGTAGTAAGTAGTAGGAGGAGCAATACAAAACGTTGCTTTGTGATGGC